TCCCTCCCTCCCTCCCTCCCTCCCTCCCTCCCTCCCTCCCTCCCTCCTTTCTTTCTTTCTTTCTTTCTTTCTTTCTTCCTTTCAGATAAGGAATACACTTTTTTTGCCCACATTTTCTTCCTAGTGCTGCAGGCAGAACACAGGGCTTGGCACATGCTGGCCTTGTTCTCTGTGAAGGTCCGTAGTCTCCAGGCCTGTGATCTCTGGATTCTTGAAGTGAAGCACCCTTCTCTAGTTTCTCAGAGGTTTCTCTGGCTGTGACTCGAAGGAGGTTGGTCTGCACAAGCTGACCACACCTGTCTCCTCCCGGACTTCAGCCCCACAGGGTTCCCTGGAAGCCTTCTGCAGAGGCGGACATGGGAAATTAAAGGACAGCCTCAGTGCTGCCATCTGTGATGTGGGTATGAAAACAGAGGTTGAATTATGTATATAAGTAATACTGGCAGCGACATACAATGTAGCCTCAGTTCATGTGTATCTTAAATGTCTCTTCTCTAAGACACAGAAGCAATGAAAAGTGTGTCTTCTCAGCACAGAGGAAGCGTCCAGTGTCACTGTTCACAGATGAAATGTCTCTGCTGGGTGCAGAAACAGTTCAGGAGGCTTGCAACACTGTCTTGCTTGCATTCTCCCTTTCTCATCCTTGGGCCAAGGCTCTTGTGTTTTTGACTTGGTTCAGTATTGTCTTTAACACATATTAACTATACATATTTATGGCATACAGTTGAGTGTTGTAGATGTATTTATCTTGTGTAATGATCTGGTCAGGGTAATTAGCATATTATGGTTTCAGGCACTAGTAATTTCTCTGTGACAAGATCACTCAAAACCCTCTCTTTCTGGTTATTTTAAAATGCAACACATCTTGTTAACTGGAGTCGCACTGCTGTGGGAACACCAGGATTTATTCCTCTCTTCTACATGAATTTTATTCCGGTGACAAAGCACACCGTGTTCTCACCCCCCACCCCGCCAGCCTCCGGGAACCAAGGGCTACGTCTACCTCTGTGACATCAGGCCTTAGGCTGCACAGATGAGCGAGGCCGTCCAGGGCTGTTCTTTCTGTGCTCAGCTTACTTCCTCCGTACTGCAAATGGCAGATTCCACTCTTTGATGCCCAGATAACACCCCATTGTCCACGTGTGGTATGTTTTCTTCATCCGTTCATGTATTTATTGTTGAGCACTTGGGGTTGATTCCCTATCTTGGTGACTCTGCAAAGTTTTGTAACGAGCATTTTTTTTTTTTTGGTCCATTTTACAATCAGATTTTTTGTTTCTTGTTGTTAAGATGTCGGAGCTTCCTTATACAGTCTGGATTCTAACCCCGTGTCATATGGAGAGCATGGGGTACAGGTGTCTCCTGGGCACGTTGATTTTATTTCCTTTCATACTTTATGATGGTAGAGCTTCTGGGTCACCCACAGTTTTGAGTTCGGTGTTTTGAGGACCCCTGGATGCTTTCCACCACGGCTACACCCATTTACATTCACATCAACCATGTCCTCAGGTTCTGGTTTCTCACGGCCTCACCAGCATTGTGGCTTCTTGACTTTTGATCACAGAGATGTGAGCCCGGGTGAACTGATATCTTCTTGTCATGTTGATTTAGATTCTCTAATGATCAATGCTGCTGAGAATTTTTTCCCCATTACACCTTGGCTATTAGTATGTCTCAGGGACCCAGATTGAACTGACCAGCCGTCTTGGTTATAACTACCACCTTGCTTGTCAGGTGGCTCCGTCACCCATTCTAAACCCTCTCTCGGTGACTTTATCAAAAACTGCTCAGCTCTTTCCTGGAACTGGAGATTACCACATTCCACTCTGGCAGCCTCTGCCAGCTTGGACCAGTTCCCAAGGATGAGAGGGTGTTTGCTGGAGCGCTGACGCTTGTTTGAGGTCTGCCAGTGCCCACTTCTAGCCACCAAGCACCTCAGGCTCTACCCAGAGTTCCTCTCTCTGTGTGCCTCTATCAAACACGAGACCATGCTGCAGAATGTACGTGGGACCGGCCTTCCCTGGCACCTGCCTGTCTTCCAGTGATGGCCCAGGCTGCCTGTCAAGTGCCACTAACTGCCCTGCCCAGGCCCCCGGACAGAGACTTCTGTCCTTTTCTGGCTTGACAAGTTTCCTGTCGGGAACCTATTTATATAATCACCATGTAATTTTCCTAAAGGTAGTCTGTCTGGTTGCCTTTCTATTCTAGACCATTCCTGTGGACTCTTACTGTTTTAACATGTTTGATAATGTACAAAGGTTTATGTTAGGATGGACAGGCGGGGAAGAGGAGGAGGAAGAAGAGAAGCTAAGCTATTATTCTGAACTACTCATGGTAGCAGGAGAAAAATCATTAAAGGGGAATTTGACACTATTAAATGATATGCAACTGGGCATCCCTGACT